TATAAAAATAAGAAAAATACCTAAAAGAGTATAAAAAATCAAATAAAAAAGTGTCTTGCGATAGGTTATTTGAGAGAGTCAGTGTTGGAGGTTGATGATGTAAAGAAAAATGCTGTTCTTTGTTAATGTCTGCCGTTCTTGATGAAGTCTGAGGTAATAAAAATCAGCACTTGCTGCCTGAATGGGATTTTGTTGCAGTGTAGATATGTACACTTGTTGAATCTTATATCTATGATGTTGGTCCTCCCTTGTTATGCTTTATGTAAAGGCATAACCTTCTGTTGAATAGTTAAAAACTCATCAATGTGTGCTTCTGAAATTGAACCAAGCCTCTTGGTTCGTAGTGTTCATGCATTTCAGTAATATCAACTTTATCCTTCACTAAAGAAATAGCACTTTTTCGTGATACAAATCACTTTATATCATGAGCAATAGCTGATACCATTTTCTCATCTTCATATGTACAAATTATTTTGGTACTTTTCCGTTTCGCTGGCGCAAATCTCGCCAAGCAGACTTTATTGGCGACAACATACATTATACACACAAAAATATTAAAAAAATGTTAGTCCTAAGAATTCTTTTTTTGAAGGCATAAACATTTTAATATCGCTTAAAATTTTATAAAAAGCCATTAAATAAAGGCAATAAATTTATAAAAAGACATTAATTTAAGAATTTACTATGCTTTCATGGTTTAACATCCTGTTTCGCCGATTCATATCACGTAACCCCAAGCGAACTCATCTCACGTATACTACTCTACAAAAATATAATGCTCTCAGTAATTATCTACATTAATTTCAAAGTTAAATCTTAATTTGGAACACAAGTTTAAATGCAAGAAATACTTCAATTCATACAAATAGCTTACTCAGAAATTATGTAAAACTGCAGTGCTTTACTTCGCTAATGCATTCTCATTAGAATTGATGAATTTAACCCTTGACTTTACCTTTTCTATATTTTCGGCTTCGGGTAAGCGCTGTGATTGCATCCTAATTGATTTAATTGCCGAAAATGACCTTAGACATAAAACTGAACTACCTGACTGAGGCGTAAAAGGTTACCAGCGAGAATATTCCGTTTGGCATCGGTTGTAGTATTATTGGCGACTTTATCGCTTGCGCCGGCAAAACGGAAAAGTACCATTATTTTCATTTATTTTATTTAGATTTATTACTAGTGCATTTGATTTTGTGTTTCATATCCATTTTTTAAGACTAGTAAGGGTAAATAAACAGCAAACACAAACAGTGATACAAAAGTGTCTAAATTAACTGTGTGAATATAATAGAAATGCAAGGAATATGGGTTGAGTAAAGAAGAAATTACTTATGAAGTCTTTGTTTCTAGTTGGTTTAAGTTTGAGTATTATCATTATGACCTTTGTGCATTTATGCAACTGAATTTACATAAATTCAGGAATTACTGTAATTGCATATTCCCTTCTACAGACTGGGTGAATTTTACCCAATGAAATTGTAATATTCATTTTAAAGCTTGTAATTTGCATCACATGCTTAATTTTTCAGAAAGCAATATGTGATGACATTTTTCTTTTACATTAGTAAGTTCTACAGTTTCGTGACTTGGTACCTTTTCATTTGAGTGGCTGTTTCGTTTGAATTTAATGTTGTTATGTGTCAAATTCTCTTGTGAAACTTCATTTGTAAATAATTGCTAGTAGTGATCATTGTTTAAAAATATTTTGCATGTCTCAAGTATTTTATGTTACAGCTTATCTAATTTTGGAAAATGCTATACAGTACAAAGTCTTTAATCTGGACGTCGATAATCTTGAATGATCTATAATCCGAACCTCAAAGCTACAAACTTTCTGTGCATGCGTAAACGCATAATACCTTTACGCATGTGCATAATACGTTTACGCATGCGTGTTTAATGTATAAAGGACGGTATAAGCTAGGCTAAAATTATCTATTTCAGTTAATGTTGCCGATTGCATTGTTCCTTAATCTTCTAATTTGATCCGGCTTATTATTTTTTGCAGACTGTTAGAGCAATTTTATAAAAATTAAGCTTGAACTTTCGATTATGTCAAAAAGAGTTTCCAATTCTGGAGCTGCCAAAGGATCTACAAAGCAAAAACATGTTTTGATGTACTGCTTCCGATAGTGAAGAAAGTGACAGAGAGGTTATTGAAAACGAAAAACATTTCGATTGACAAGTTAGTTGGTATTCTCGACACAGCAATTACAGGACTTGAACAGTGGAACTGAACAAGAAATTATGTCTGTTTATAGAATTAAAGCGAAAGTATTAGCACAAAAAAGGAAGCAACTTAAACAACTTACATTGAAAGAAATGTTTAATAAAGTAAACAAATAAATATTAAACTTTTTTTTTTTTTTTGTAAATTTTGATACCCTTTAAATCATAATTGCTCTTTATTTCATAAATTACGGTTTCTTATTTTTAATTTTATAATTTCTGCATGCCATCTTACCAGATTTAAATTGATGATCTATAATCGGGAAAAACCCCTAATCCGGAATCACCGAAGTCCCGACGAGTCCGGATTAAAGACTTTGTACTATATAATGAAATTATTTATTAAACATTTATATTATAAATGGAAAAAATGTAAGCCAAATAATTTTGGTTAAAAAATTGTAAAAATTATAACTTGGTAATTTCTTTTGGAAATTCATTTTTAATTTTATGTGTCATTTTTAACTATGATATAGGTCAGCGTTTCCCAAAGTGTGGGTTGCAACCTGGCCCCGGGTCGCAAATAATTTCAGCTGGGTCGTGGCAAAAATTGTGAAAACACAAAAAATGTATAACATTTTGCTATAAATTTAATATTTTTTTTAACTTTTTCAAATACTGCAGGTGGCAACACTTTACCACCGTTTCCTACCGGGGCGTTTAAATTCAGATGCTCTGATTGGCGATTTTAATACGTCATTCAGTGCCTTCTCTGGTACATGTGCCGTAAACTCACGTGCATCAAAACAAGGTTATGTTTGAATTTTTGTTACTTATTTTATTTGACAATAGTTATTATTACCTATTTATTAATAAAAAAATGCTCTTTTTCCATTTAAGTATAGATTCCACAATTTCGAGTGGTTAATAAAAGTAGTTTATTTGTGCGACATATTTGCTACATTCAATGAATTGAATTTAAATTTGCAAGGCTTTGGTGTAAATATTTTCAAAGTATCGGAAAAAGTCGCTGCAATAATTTAAAAAATGACTCTGTGGAAACAACGACTTCCAAAAGGAAATTTTAAATCTTTTGAACATTACATAAATTTATGAAACCCCATTCAAAACTAGATGAAGAAGATTTACTCTTGGAACACTATCATTTCATTCAAGAAATCTTTCGAAGCTAATAAATAGTTTTTTTAAAGACTACTTTCCGGATATTCCTTCAAATAATATGTGGATTAAGATCCTTTTTTGTTGATATTGAAAAGGAAGAAATGTTTAACTTAGTGAACAAGAAGTTGATAATTTAATTGAAATTTCATGCGACACCGATCTTAAAAAGTGTTTGAAACTGTACCACTAATTAATTTTTGGTTGTGCTGTCAAAAGGAGTATCCAAGCGTAAGCGAAAAAGCAATACAATTTTTAATGCCTTTTGTCACCACTTATACAAGTGAAACTGTGTTCTCAGCCTTGGTGTACTTAAAAAATAAGTATCAAAACAGATTGGATGTCAAACTTAATTTGAGAATAAAATTAACATCAATAAGTCCTAATTTGAAATTAGGAAACATTCTGCGCATGCGTCAACGCATAATGCGTTGACACATGCCCAGAAAGTTTGTAGCTTTGATGTCCGGATTAAAGACTTTTGACTGTATATATCTAAAGTCGCGCTTTCGAGACATGAAAAATGGAAGCTAAATTTTGTCAATCGGACCAGTGGAATGGGAGTTATAGAACTGTCTCCCTTTCTTGTGTGCAAAGTGTACATATTGTTACAAATTTTGTATTTAGCTAGCTTAGTAGCATTATAATTAAAATTGTTGTATTTCCCTGTGTGACACAGAGAAAGCTATGCCGGAAAAGTAAAAATAAAGGAGCATGTGCATTTAGCATTGAGTATAAGTTTATCTAGGTAATTTGTATTGAAATTGAATAAATGTAATTGACCACCATGTTAACTTTAACCGTAATTACATCCTCTTTTTGCTGTTCAGAAATCTCGAGAAGCAGAAAATGCTAGACGGTTAAAAACTACTTAAAGCCAGAGAATAACATCTCAGTTCAAGTTAGTTGCTTAGTTATTGTTGTTGTGAGTTGTTCCACTTGAACTGAGATAAATCGGATTAGCTTTCTCTTTAAATGTGCTGCGCATTGCATTCTGTTTAACGTTTTTAGTGGTTTGAAATATAACTACTGATTGAGGGATATTGTGAACACTTGTATGAATATATCTGAGGAAAATTCCAGAGTTCTGATATATTTCTTACGATCACAGTTTTATTAACCTACTAGCGGCTACGTGGCCAGCCTTCGTCTGGCTTTTAAATGCACGGGGAAAATCCCTGAAGATAACACCAAACGTTAAATTTAAAAACTGCGCAGAATTTTAGCAGAACATGTTATGTTTCTTTTGATAAAAATAAATTTTATTAACCTTTTATCGAACTTGTGCATTCAATCTCTAATGAAACCGTGCGCATGCAACGAGATGTATATGTAAGCATATATATATGCACACATACAACTCTGAATCTGGTTCCAATAACAGAAAAATATCCTGTAATGATTTCTCAGCTGATAAATATGTAAATTTTTTGTATATATATAGGCAAACTAAATTTTCTATTGCAGTTTTTGTAGGCAGTGCAAATCACCTAGTAAGTTATTATTTGATATCATAAATCACTTTGTAGTATCATGAAACTTATTTTATCATAACTGAAATATCAGTTTACTAAAAAAGCTAAATGATTGTTTTAGTGTGATTAAATGTACTCTTCTGTGATAATGTGTTTTGTTTTTGTTTTTAGATACTGGTAAAGTTGCAAAAGCTCCTCAAAGCACAAAGAAGGCAATATTTATTTTAGTCACAATATTCACTCTGTCTGTCGCTGGCTTATTTTATTTATACAAATGTTTCCCAGAGTTAGAGGAGTAAGTTTTAAGTTTCTGTCATATGGATTCATTTCATAATTCTCCCCTAATACTTTTTTAAAGCTTTGTATTAGGTATCATTAAGTGGATGCTATTACTGTAATTAAGTATAAATTAATTTCTTACAGTCTAGCTCAGGTTAGATACACTTCCAGTGCATAAATTTTATTTTGAAAACTCTATATCCAGTGATTATACAAGAAGTCCAGTGTCACTAGACATTTATATTAAAAAATACTACTATAACAAAAAATTAAATATTATTAAAAAAATTAAATTATTATATTAAAAAATATTACTATGACATCATTGTAAATGTCCATCCGGAAAAGTACTAACACAGATAGAAAAATCTAAGCATGGACTGTTTTTTACTTCCTTTTACGAAGTAAAAAGGAAGTACTGTAATCGCGAAAAGTTTCAGGCAGCATATTTCAACGAAAATATCCATTTTGACCGCTATCGAATGCAATTTAACGATGTTTTTGCGTGATATCTGTCCGTAAGGACAGACTAAAATACTCTTTTCCTTCAAAAAAATTATAAAACTGCTTTAAAATTAATTTTGAAGAGAATTTTTCGTGGCGTCCGTCGAAATATGTTACGTACGTACTCTCACAAATCAAAAACCAGTAGCCTCAGGACGTTGAAATTTTGTATATAGGACTGCTATAACATGTAGATGTGCACCTCGTATTTTAGGTTGCAATCGGCCTCACCAAACGTATATAAATATATTTATATATATATCCATTCTGTTACCCGGCTCAGTGATCTTGTTCTTCTACTTTACTTTTTTATGTTTATAAAATTGTACATTTTTTGCTTTAAAAATGATTGATTGAATTATGTTGTTTTATCTTCGGTTTTAAGGGTTTTATGCCTTTAGTAAATCTGTATGCAATGTTTGTAGAATTATCAACAATTTTTAAAATTGTTTAACGTGCCGCTAAAACTAATTTGATGGCGGCCATTGCTCTTGTTTACATTTGAAACAGCTGACTAGCGGATTTGTTGCCAATCTAGAGAAACTTAGTTTCGCAACAACAAACATAACGCATTCATTTATTATTGCCAATTAAATCATGCTTAATTCTTTCTGGAATTTTTTCGAGGAAATAAGTGTTTAAGATTTACTTCGTAATTTTTAATATAGATATTTTGAGTTTTTATGTATTTTTGCCTTCTCGCGAAGTGAGAACTGAATTAATTGAAGGAGAAATACTCAATCGTCTGTGAAAAACTGTTTTTTTTTTCTTTTGTTGCTTAATTTCTTTTTATACATCATTCTAGCTTCATTATAGTATTTGAATAGAACATGTGGCAATGATTAGATAATTCTATTCTTTAAATGATATAAATTTTGTGGCATTATGAGTTATAATATGAATGAAATATAAGTTACTGTTATATAATTCTTGGATTTTATATAATTATTAATACTGTTAAGTGAATCTAGCGCCAGAGTGTCACTATGGTAAACATATACTAGAGTGAATTTTAAAGAATGCATTTATTCTGTTGTGATTTATGCACTGTTGGCGAAGTAGATTTAATTCAATCCAATAAGTTTAAATGAAATGCAAGAAAAAATGCATATTATTTAATATTCCGTACAAGGAAGTCATGTGGTGTACACATCAGATTTTTTTTTTAAATATAAGCTGCACTTTCTATTCTGATTTTTAAGATGTAAAATTAGAATGCAGCTTAAATTAAAAGAAAACGTTTTAACGTCTTATATATGCTGATTTTACACTCCCTCCATATATCTAAATAAATTATCAAAAAATATTTTTTTAAATGTTGCATTACAGGTGTGTAGCCAAGAGTTGTGTCCTGGATTTTGTAACCATCACTCAGTTATAAATAATAGCAGTTTTAAAAATTTCTGACACATAAAAATTAATTTTTTTTTAATCAAAAATAATTTTTATACCATGGCATAAATTGAAGAAAACATTTCAATTTTACCACAGTTTCAACTGATTATCGAGGATTTCATGTAAAGTCGTCTATAGAGTTTGATTTGCCATAGGAGCATAAATTAGTTTCACACTCCTAACAGACCTAAAGTAAATTATTGCTGTATATGAAATTAACTGTAGACACTTGATTGAATAACTGCAGACATTTGATTTTAATCACTTTAATAAGTGATTAAAACTTTTACACTTTAATTGATTAACTCCAAATACTTGATTTTAATCGAACTTGGAACTTGCACCTCTTGTGTTTACAGAAATCAACCATCGCTTGTAGCGATGCAACTAAAGTAATAGTCAAATTCAAATTTTGAAAATGCAACCTAGGAGTCAAAGACTATACAATAAAATTTAAATTGAAGTTTGCTCAAAACTCTTAACTGGCATCTCAAGTTTAAATGTCAGCAACAATAAGCAAAACCATAGAATTACAGATGTATCAGAGCTGGCAGAAACTACCTAACATGGCCATAAGGTAGGGGTCGACAACCTTTTGAGTCGGAAGAGTCAAAAATTACAGTTTACAAAATTTCAGAGTTTTTAAAGAGCCACCAAATTTTTTCTTGCCAACAATAAATAGTACTCGCATAAATAAAGTTGTTTAATAAAAAAAAATATATTTATTCATATATAAATAGTGTTTTTTCACAACAAATTACATAATATATATAGGGCATTATTAGATAATTATTATTTAAGTAAAAAAGTAAAACAACTAAACATTTACTTACAACACTAACTTGTACTTCAATAACAAACAATTGAGCAAACAAATTGAATAAGACAGATGGCTTTGAATGGTTATTCAAGTAGAAAATTTAAACTTTACTAAACTATGTAACTTGTACTTAAAATTTAAAAAAAAAAAAAAAAAAAAAGATACCGTACATTTGAGCAAACAAATTCAGTGGGAGCATTGGGTTTGCATGGTTTTAGAAAGTTTTGATAATTTTGGCTCATAACTTGTTGTTTTAAGTTTCAAACACGACTCTAAATTTTTATTTGTTAGTTGGCTTCTTACTGTACTTTTTATTATATTCATGCAAGAGAACGCTTGCTCGCACAAATATGTCGATCCGAAGATAGTCAGCACTCCAAATGCCAACTTCTTCACCTCACTGTAGCAATCTGGATGACTATTCCATGCGTCGAATATAAATGCCTTAACTCGCAGCATTTCTTTTAAAGCTGTCCACTTTTGTTGTGTCACATACATTCATTTCCGGACCTCCAACTCTTCCAACTTGCATTTCAACTCTGTAAATTTTCCACTCCACAAAGCTTTACTTTTTAAACCGATCAGTTGCATTTTTGAGATCCAGTATCAATTCCAAATGGACTTCGTTACTATTTGTGTTGAGAGGATTTACTATGAATACTAGAGTGGTTTTTTGGTTTTGAATTGCTCAAATTTGTCAGCAAATTTGTCTTTAATTTTTTTTTATAACTGTGCTGAAGTAATTCGTGTCAACAGTGGCACTGGTTTTATCGCGATGTTGCTTTAGAAATTGAAAATGGAGTAATTTACCTCTCTGAATATCTTGTGCAAAAAGAATTAATTTTTCTTCAAAACAAACGAATTCTTCTTCCAAAATATAGGCTGGGTTTCCCTTTCCTTGCAGTTTTAGATTCAGCTCATTTAATTTCGATGTGAATCCACCATAAAGTAAAATTTTTGCAACCATTTGTTATTCCCTAATTCAGGGTGATTAATGCCTTTTTCATTTAGGAATGTATTTATTTCATTCAAGCACAAAGCAGAATGTTTCAACACCTTTCCTTTGGAAAGCCATCACACTTTATTGTGAAGAAGGAGGTCGAAATACTGAGTCTCCATTTCGTTTAAGAATTCTTTAAACTGATGATGGTACAGTACTTTTGACAAGATGCTGTTAACAATCTTGATTACCAGATTCATGACGTCAAATATTTCGGCCGGAAATGTTTGGGCACAAAGCGCTTCTTGGTGTATTATGCAGTGAAACGTAAGAATTTCGTGGTTTATTTTGCTCTGAAGAATCGTTGTTACCCCTTTATTTTTTTTTTCTGTCATACTTCTGGCTCCATCATTTGCTACTGAAATGATTTTATTTAAATCGATCTTATTGCCTTCAAGGCATTTTTGCACGGCATTCGCTATATCTTCCCCTCTATTTTGTCCCGAGAGCAGTAGGAATCCTAGTTCTTCTTTTGGATCTTGGGAAGACCTGACAAAAAGGGCAACTTGCGCTGTATCTTTTATGTTGCAAGACTCATCTAATATTTGCATATGTAACTAAAGAACTGCAGCTTCACATCCAAAGAGCCGCAGGTTGCTGACCCCTGCCATAAGGTGCAGAAACATGCTCTGTCTTGCAATCCAAAAAACCTCAGCTTAAATATTACGTAAATGATTTGCATTCTGGTGAGAAAATTGAAATGAGAAGTTATGGTAAAGGCTGAAATTATAAATAACTGGTTAATTTCAATTAATAATAACTTTATAAGTTCAAATTTTGCCCTTAGCTTTTTATACTCAAAATTAATTTACAATAAAACCTTATAAGTTCAACAATTTTGTCCTTAGCTTTATATACTCAAAATTAATTTACAATAAAAGTATATTTCAGTTCATTGTTTAACTGTTAACAAGAAAATATGTATTTGAATATTCTGAGGTGCATAATATGAATGATTATTTCTGTTCTACATGATTTCTTATCTTAAAAGATAGATTTCTATTTAAAAAAAGGCTTGAAATCAAGGAAATTTGTATGCATACACCATTCAGAACAATTTATTCACAAATTTAAGTGGCTGGACCATGAATCATGTTGTAGAGGTTTTTTCGTTCTTAATTTTTTTCCCCTGTTTATTTTTACTGTGTTCACTGTGTGTGTGTTATATCAAAGTAGTATATTGTAAATTGCATTAACAAATAGCAAATTTAATGAAACACATAAACTTTAAATTATATCTTGGCATTAATTTTAAAGAATTTTTCTATGCATTAAAAAAAAAAAAAAAAAATATGAA